AACAATGAATTTATGTGATTAAATATATAAACATAAAAACTGTTTGAATTTTTGAAAAGTTTAATAATTTTTCTAAGAAGTGCAATCTTGGAAAAGCATTTATCAATATGTCTATTTATAGAACTTGTCATACAAACCCAGGATGTGAGATTAGGTGATAAACTCTTCTGGTATACATTTCCTCCTATTTTCTTTGTGCCACATAGGATGAAAAAATAATCAGAATATGTACATTGATTCTTCATGTCTATATCTTAAAAAATTAGAAATGTGTTTTTTAAAAAACAGAAAAAAATTATTCTTACAATCAATGGTTACAATATTTGGATTGTGAAAGTTATAAAATCTTAATTTTTTTAGTACTTCAGGTTTTCCAAATTCTTTCATATTTACTTGATCTTTCCAACAATAGCTTGCAGTAACAGATTATTATTATTATAATTCTCATTTTCCTTTTTCATACACCTACGTTGATATTTGTAACAAACTGTTGATGCCCCACCCTTTTCTCCTTACCCTACCATTTCAGAGCAGACTAGCTTGATTTTTCACAATGGTGGGGGATGTGTCCATAGCAGAGTGTTAATTCCCTAGCATTTCCAGCCTGTGTAGGGGCAGAATAGACCAGCTGTCAGAGAAACTCGTCAGAAAAAGATGCAGCTCTGGCAATTGGAAGACTAGCCAGCATGCATGCATTGAATTAATGCACCCTAGGAAAAGAATGCCATCCATGACTGAAGGGAGTTGGTGCATATATACCTGAGTCTTCCTACACTTTGAGTGGGCTAATTCTGAAGTTACTGTTTTAAATGGTTTCTCAGGAATCCCAGTAAGATTAAGCTCTGTTTGCTCACAATGAAACTTGCTTGGTAATTCACCCTTCATTGCCTTCCTTCCATTCCCTGTCTCACTTCCCCAAATCCCTACTGTTTCCTGAAATCACTTTCTAAAATACACTATTTGCACTTGAATACTTAAGTCAGGATCTGATTTTGGTAGAACACAAACTCAAAAAAGTTTCCTAAAGCATAGGCTGAAGAGACACTCAAGTAGAGGGAATATTATGTTCTATAGTTAATAGGACTCATTGTAGGAAAGGCAGGAGGAAGGAGACAAATGGGTTTAGGAATATTTGTGGACATCGACTATCTGGGTTTTCTCTAGAAAGCCAATCATTACTACTGAAAATAGATTACCTTATGTCCATGTTACTCTGACTAAAACTTAGGAAAGAAAAGAACCTCTACTGAAAGCCAATAAAGACCTGGGGTTTTGTTCTTCAGATTAATATCATTTTCTATCGGAGTTGCTTATGTTCATAACTCATCAACTAATTAAGTAAGGAAAAGCACACACATTCTCTTGTATCTTATGGTGTTAGAAAATATTATTAAATTTGCGCTGCCAATTGCTTGGTTAATTAAAAAATAAAATATTTCTTTTCAGAGAATTAAAAGGTCAAATATTTCTATTATATTTTTCAAAAAGTTCATTCAAATGTTTATTTGTATCATAAGAGGTATAGCATACTATAAACTGGGAGTTGCTTTTTAAAAATTTTTTCAGTTTTATTAGCTGGTAAAAATGCAGAATAAGACTTAAAATGTTTATGTCTATTTAATCAGAATGATAAAGGTACACACAATGTGAAATGGAGTATGCTTTTTTTAAAAAAAACAATAAAACATAATAGGGAATGAGAATAAAATGTACTCTCTGATAACCTTCATTGACCAAATCAGATCATAGCTAACTGACCCTTTGATGTCTGACCAGGTCTTAGGATAGTCTCTGAAATTCCTGGCATATCAGAGTTAAATAAATTATTGGTAAGCATGCTCTCCACATTTAAAATCATACCTTCTACTCCTAGGCCCCATGGAGTGGTAGGTAGTATTTAAATATTAAGTCTGAAGAAGGAAATAAGAGAAGGGTCAAATAAATAAGAATACAGTGACATGACTCTCAGGAAGCTTATGTCTCAGTAAGGCAATTTAACTTAGAAAGCTCATTTTCAATTTAACATACACAGCAATGACATATTTTCTAAAATATTTTAGAAATATTTTATTTATTTTTAGAAATTTGTTATCAGCAGTTTCCATTTCTCAGCCTTTCCCCAATTCAAAACTACATTATGCTGAATACTTTGTCCAAGCTTTAATACAATATAGCTTTGAGCTATTTTCATTTTTGAATTATCTTTGTCCCCTGTCTTTTACTGTTTTAAAACAATCTAGTAGCAAATTCCAGCCCTTTTCTAATTTTTCATTTGAAAACATCCTTGAATATTTTTGGTACATTTCACAGAATACTTTGATTACACAATGTCTGCCATCAGCTTTTTCTATCTTGACTACCACATACTTATTCCAAACCCTGATTTTCTTTCATCACAGCTCCCTTGTGTTTTTTTTAATCCAATTCCGTGTATAAATCCTCTTTATTTTGGTCATGAAGGCCATATCATGGTTTCCTATTACATCATATATCAGATAAAAATTCTGGACTTTTAAAGGTTCACAAACCTTTACCAATATGTACTAACTTACCTGCTTTCCCTTTCTTTGAGGTCTCAGCATATCTTCTTCTCTGACTTGAGGCAAAGTGTTTTTCATACTCCAAATGAACTTTTATTCCCAAACTAAATGTTATTTTTTTTCCTTGTTCAGTGGACTATAATCTATCTTTCATCACTTAAAAAGCACCAGAAATCCCAATACCTCCTCGATGTTCCTTGCAATAAAGGATGTGATGAGAAGGGTTAGTATTCTTTTCCATTCCCTTCTCTGTCAGGAATTAAATTTTATTCTATTCTCTTTGGTTATTGCCTCAGATATGCAGGTATTCTTGGCTAGAATATCACGGAATTACAGTGAAGTTCTTTATTATGCTAGCTTTTACTGAAATCATCATTCAGGTTGAAGTGCTATAGTGAAAAGTATGAGGAAGAAGCATCTTTGTTCTAGAAATCTAGCGAATATGTTTATACCTTTCCACATCTTAGAACACATTTCACATCTTACATTATCTCATTTGACCCTAAGAATTATGGGAAGTAGAGTTTCAGTCCCTGTTTTAAGTGCGAAGGAACTGAAGCTCTAGTGTACTGCAATATTCAAGAGGACAGACCGTGGAATCAGGAAGACCTGAGTTTGAATTATTGAGACAATATTTATACCTATGTGACTTTGAATTATTAATATCTCTAAACCTAAACTGCCTCATAAAATAGGGACCGTAATAACTGTATGATATACTACACGTAAAGAGCATCACATGTAAAATGGATTGCTTGGCACATGGTAAGCACTTAATAAATAGCCAACATGTTAAAGGATTTGCCCAAGACACTTTTAGAACATGACTGCAAGGACTTGAAACCAAGATTTCAGGCTCCAAAGCCTATGTTTTTCCACTATCCCTAATTCCTAGCACACTGATTAATTAAACAACTAACTTGGTAGATGACCTTGAGCAAAATACTTCACTGAGTCAGTTTACTGATCTGTAAACTGAGTCTTTTCAGACTTTCAGAGTCTATCGTAGCTATGTTATTTTTTTTCTGTAGCGTTGTACATTTGAGGTTCAGATTCCCTATATATCCAAGATCTGTATAATCATAAGCCGTGCACATTGCAACTAGTTTTATTCCTATATTCATACTTTCTTCAATAATTAGTTTTGTGTACACTCAACTCAGCTGTTGCCTGTCTTTAGTCTGCCTATCAGCGCCTCGTGAAGGAAAGACCCATATACCTAGCTTTATTTATTTATATCCTGGCTTGTTCCCGAAAGGATTAAAGGCAGCGAGTGACACTATGAGTTCCCTAACGATGTTACACAGTGCCACTAAAAAATACTCTTTTGATGAAACAACCCGTAGAAAACCGCCGATGAGTTGAGATGCTGTCTTTTACCTAACTCTTAAAAATAAAAACTAATGTACCTAGCTAGAAGTCCTGGAAGCATAAAGTTAAGGTTCTTCCTTCAGCCTTGACGCTGTCTCACCCGTTGTCAACGGTCACTCGAATGCCCTTCTCAAGACTAGCCACAACTGTCGCCGCTCCAGCGCCGGCTTGACCGAGATCCCACCCCGCCCCTTCATTCCCTCTCATACCTAAGTTTCCTGATTGGGAAGGGGCCTGAAGAGCCTTTCTCATATTCCCATTTTATTGGATGGCACGGCTGTCAGTAATCTCTGCTTCCCGCCTTCTAGCCTAGCGTGTTTCTTACACCCCCTGGTTTCTGCGACAAGCCGCTTGAGTTTGCCTGAGCCGTGTTGCCGGGGACCCGCGACCTTTCACCCCTCCCTACCCACAGGAGCGCCCCAGCCCCCTTCTCCGTCGCCGGCGCGCGCCCCCGGGTACGCGCTTAGCCCGCGCTCACACGCGCACGCGCATACACACTCATACACGCGCGCGCGCGCGCACACACACACACACACATACACACACACCTTCCCCCGCCTCCGGCGGGGCCCCCTCCGCCCCCTCAGGCTGAGGCATCAGCGCTGGGAGGCGGCAGCGGCGGCGGCGGCGGCGCTGCTGAGAGGCAGGGATCCGAGCGCGAAGTGTGTGGGAGTCTACGAACTCAACCCCTCTCTACCCTCCCCTCGCAGCCATCCCCCTCCCTCCCCGCCAGCCCCCCCTACAAGCGGGAGAAATAATGAGCGAGACCGGGCGGCAGCAGCAGCATCGCCGAGCAGCCCAGGCAACGGCAGAACCGCTCCGGCAGCGGCGGCGGCGGCAGCACCAGCAGCGGGAGCGAGCGCAGCGCTAGCGCGGCGCGGGGATCGCCGCGCTCCTTCCCGGCTCCTGCCCTCCTCCGCCGCTCGCTCCTCTCTCCGCATCCACCTCCTTCCCCTCCTCCTGCTCATTCACTCTTTCCCTCACTCTCCCCTCCTCCTCGGCTTCTCCCCGCGCCCCGCCAGCCCTCGCGCTCTCCCACTCCCTCTGCCTGTCCTCCCCGCTCCCCTCCTCCCGCTCATTCACTCGCCCCTCTCCCTTCACTCTCTCCCCCTCTCTCCTTTCTTCTCCTTCTTTCACCCTCCGTCTCTCACACCCCCTCCATTCCCCTGTCTCCTTTCTGACACTGCACTGCAGCTGCTCCTCAGCCCTGCCCCCTCCCCAGTGAGAACAAACCAGCAACATTGCTTTTTTTTCCTAAAGAGATTTCTATTGATCCGATTAAAAAAAAAAAAAACCTTAAGAAACCCCAAACGCAAAAAAAAAGAAAAAAAGCCAAAACAAAAGGGAGAACCTTCTCCCCGTAGCAGCGGCAGGAACTGCAAACATGATGGCGGCAGCTCCCATCCAGCAGAACGGGACCCACACTGGGGTTCCCATAGACCTGGACCCGCCGGACTCGCGGAAAAGGCCGCTGGAAGCCCCCCCTGAAGCCGGCAGCACCAAGAGGACCAATACGGGCGGTGGGTATCGCTTCCACCTCCCCGCTGGCCCCATCCCCCGCCGCCCGCCCCTACCTCCCTCCCTCCCTCCCGCCGGCCTCCCTCCCTCCCGCGGCCCGGACACCTCCAGCCCGAACCCGGAGGCTCCCGCGCCCCTGCCCCGCGCCCCCTCCCCTGCACCTGCCCCGCACCTCGCCGTCCCGGACACATTTCCATTTCTCTGTTTATCATTCATCAAAATGGCGACCGGTTTTTCGGAATAGACCTATCTTTCCATTTAATCGGTCTAAAGACTGACCATTTAAATATCCTAGACCTGGGCAAGGGGGTCCGTTAAAGAGGAGGAGGATGACCCCCCGAGTGAGGTGATGGCCGCCCGAAGATGCGCGCTGCATTTAACAGTCTGATAAAATAAATAAATAAATGGCACTTGGGTAGCGGATAGCAAATGATTGGGGCACAGGAGAGTTTTTCTCTCTTCATCCCCTTGCTTTGGGCCACAAGTAGTATGCAAAATCTTGATGAGTGCATGCTCTTACCGCACTTATATTGTCGTTGCAAATATCTCATTGATTTGTCTTCAGAGGTGTGCATACGAGGGTGGGGGTGTCTGGTACTGTGACTTGTTAGTTTAACATCCTGCGCTTCCTGGGAAGATGAGTTATAACGGGACCGGTATCGCTTCTTCATTTGCACTGGAGTCATCTTAACAATGCACCCAATGCATCGAGGCAGAGGTGAATTTATCTACAGCATGTACATTAGAGAAGGATGGGGGTCTTGCGAATGGCACACCCGCAAAATTTGGAACGTTTATTCACATGAGGAAGCTGGGTTTACCGGGGTGTTTCCTATTTAAGACTTGATCAGTTTGTCGGAAATTAAAGTTTATGGAGTTGGCTTTATTTTCTAAAACGTTTCATTTCACTCTTTCTTGGTTCATCCACCCCCTCCGCTTTAAAAATTGTGGCTGTTTTGGAGAAGTAACATAATCTGTTTGGTCACTTTTAAGTGTATTTGATATAAATGACTCCTAAGCTTTTTAGTATTGGCAGAATTCTTCTTAACATCCTTTAATTAATGAGCTTAAACGAGATCATGGTAGACTAAGAAGTGCTAAAGAAATACACCAGGATTAGTTAGATTTGCCAGTTCACATCACTTTGAGTTATTTCCTGGCAGTTATTGCAGGCTTGGAATACACCCTACAGTTTGGGTGGATTATTTGGTAGGAGAAGTGTTTGTTTTGTATACTTTAAGTAGGATATAGGCAATGGCTAATTGTAGTCCTTAGGTGTTTGCTAATGCCAAACAAATATAGCTCATCACTATTTACAGTCCTTTTACTTATTTATATTGCAATATATTAAGCGAAGGTTTGCCATCATATAAATCTCTGAAGTTTTGTTAAAGGGTCAGTTCATTTCATTTTACCATAGTAACCACAGATAGAATTGGAAGACTTCCATGTTTGGAATAACAACTGGAATTTAGTCATCAGTTTCTACAGTGCAGCAAAATGATAGAACATGTTTAGTTTTTAATTCCAAGTTTGAAAGTATAAATCCTACAAAATGGGAAACATTTTGTACCTATTTATTTTTCATTGTAATTGGCTTATTTTTGTTCTTTAAAAAAATTTAACCCCATATTTCCTGCAGCTATATACCCAATATTTTAATTGCTGTTTTTCCCTCTTGAGGGTGGAGAGGGCATACAAAGTTTAAAATTATCATGTTAACCAAGTATATTTCTTTGCATTTTTCAGAAGACGGCCAGTATTTTCTAAAGGTTCTCATACCTAGTTATGCTGCTGGATCTATAATTGGGAAGGGAGGACAGACAATTGTTCAGTTGCAAAAAGAAACTGGAGCCACCATCAAGCTGTCTAAGTCCAAAGATTTTTACCCAGGTAGGTGCAATGGTGAAGAGATTGTTTGAAAAATCCCCAAGGAAAGAAAGAGAAGATTTACCTGTGCTGTATGTTGTATGGAAAGAAATTCTTAACAGTATAAACTTTATTTATCTATTGTATTTGTGGAAAATTTTAAAGTATATTTCTACTGTTGGTGTTATGTTTTGTTTCAATAATTGATATACTGTGTCTGATTTAGAATAATTACGAGATGAATCTTTTGGGTATTTCTAAATACTTCTTTCTAATTAGGAAGAAACTCTAGAATTTAAAGATAGAAACATGGACAGCTGGCATCAGGAAATAGGGTTCTTTTGAAGTTTTCAGACATCATTGTAATGACAATTAGTCTAGAGTGAATTCAGAAGAGGGGGTAGGAAGGCTTCTTAAAGAATGGACCATTTACTTCTAAATCCATTATGTACCTCTTTCTGCTTCACTGCTTTGTTTGTTGGCCCTGGAGTGAAGTAAAGAGGACAAGTGCTGCCTCTTCAGATTTTTAAAATACTGCGTTTTTAATGTAATTGTGACAAGGAAATATATTATTATGTAAGAAGTAAAGTAATACTTCAAAATTTGTGTTATGAAGAGCTGTAGTCGATTAAAATATGTTAACAGTTGTGTGGTACTGTAACCTACTGGAAAATGACAGGTTTCCTAGGTGGTATAATTTTTTTTTTTTACTTTTCAGTGTGTGTTTTTTATTTCAAGTGTTATATAGTTCTGCGTGTTTTATCTTTTTCCTTTTTATCATTTTGCTATTCAGCATATGGATTTTAAGTTTAACTGGAAAATCTGCATAATTGAATAGTGTATCTCTTAGGTAAAACATGAACTGATTTGCTTTTACCCAGGTGTAGCTTCTGCCTTTTTTTTTTTTTCTTTTTGTTAGTTTGCTTTATGGCCATAAAAAATATTTATTCAGTGCTGAGGGGACTGATACTGCTTTTTTTTTTTTCCTGGTAGAAAAGAAAAGCTTATTTACTTTCAATGATGTAATTTCAGTAAGAGTTCTTTAACAGAGGATTTCTTTTTCATAGCCAATTGATTGGTGGTAGAAAATGGACCATTATGCTAGATAAAGTTTTAGAATGGTTGACAATATCATTTAGTTATATAAGATAAATGTAGTATATTTGGTAAACACTATGAATATTAAACTAAAATGTAATTTATTAGATATGCTGTCCTTCGAAAGTTTGCTCCTGTGAGTGTAGTTTTGTAGATGGCTTTCCTTGTCTCTGAAACTTTCCTTATGCATTAAGGAAGTTTACTAACATATTCACATTTGTATGTTTAAAAGGTATATTATGATGAAAAAAATTGATGTGGAATTGTGAAAACCTTAGTACAAATAAAAGCACTCAAAAGAGCTTGATTGCAGAATTAATAACGTGATAGTTCTAGGAAAAGAGCTCCAATGGTAAATTAAATTCACTGTCAATAGATGAAAATGAAATAGCTTTTTTGCATTAAACATGAGATGGTATCAGATGTGCAGGGATGTTACAGAAAATTGGTGTTTATCAAGGATATTCTAAATAGTAAATTAAATGCCTTTTCATTTGAATATAGTTTATTTTCAGTGGATTGGAAAGGGTGCACTGAGAATTAGATCTTTTGTTTTTAGTCCACTTAGTTATGCGTATTTTTCTTATTACATTGAAATTGCTTATTTTATTTATAGTTCTGAGACGCGTTATTCATATAGAGCAAGAATATCCGTTGGAAAAAAATGGAAAACTGGAATGCGTTGAAGAAAATTTTGTGTGTGTAGTGACGTAACCTGATCAAATGCGATTTGAAATGTCTGGATAAAAGAAGGCATATACTCTCTGCCTGTAACAGGTGGAAACCAAGCACACACTGGAATCAATTTTAAGGATAAAATAAAGCCTTGTAATTAATAAGAAGCTGTATTAATTCTGAACACTTTACTTAAATGTGATATTAACTAGGTTATTACCTGTTCAGACAGATATATCTCTCTTCTTCTGATAGACTTCAATTCTAATAGTCTTTCTGTTCACACTTGACAACAGCCTGTGGAATTATCTGAGGTCCTGGTATTCTTCAATATAACAGCCTCTGAGCTACTTTCAACTTCTCGTACTCAGATATATTTAAGGGATACTCACCTGCTCATCTCAGACAAAGTAAATTATAAAACTATGATTTATATCGCCGAGTTACAAGTACTTTCTTGTAGGATTATGCAGTAATTTATTTGGAAGCCCATTTTTGCGTTTCATATATGTATTTATGACTCCTACTTGATTAGAATGAATATGCCTGGTGTTAATTTCATGAAGAATTTTTCTGTTTCTCATTTGGTAAGACAGTGTATTTGGGGAAAAGTGTACTTTAGTTGTATAACCTAATGGATTTTCTCAAATTACCTAAGTTATGAAACAGAATGTAATTCTGTTCGGAAGGTTTAGTTAAAATACTGATGTATCTAAGACAGATTTTCTTTAGGATATATAATGCAGAGTACAGACACACTTTGGGGATATTTTAGCAAATCTCAACTCAAATGTATGTCCATTGTTTTTATTGTAGCCAATATAGTCTACTCATATTTATCATATTTGTGCGTTTTTGGATTTTTTGTTTTTTGCTCAGCTTGGGTCTTTAAAATATCTTAAGCAACCTCGCTTTTTTGAGTAATTTTTAATACTTATGGTTGAAATCAAGAAAATATTTTATGCACATTAATTGGTATGATTTAGAATTTGTAGAACTGTATATTGTGTTGTGTATTTCAGCATGTCATAGTAAATAAAATAATTTGGGGAAATTGTATGATGAGGATTGTAAAGTGCATTTTTAAATTACTGTAATCAAAGAAAAGATCTACAAGTTGACGTGCTTTATTTTTTGCTGTGCTTTGTAATTCATTTATCTTTTTAAACATCTAAATCTTACAGAATACTACTTATTACCTGTGATTTATGAATATATCTTTTTTCCTTACTTGATTAAAACAGCTTATTTATTTACATATCTTTTTTATAAATAGGTTACCTAAAGTTGTTGCCTTGTAGTAAAAGAACAGCTTTCTCATTTTGGGGAATATATTACCGAATGCATTTTCAGAATGGCGATAATGGTCTCTTATTCTTTTATTTGGCATCTGAAGATGTATTTAGTTTTTGTTAATAAATAGATGGATTTTTTATTAAAAGTAATGCATGGCTCAGGTAGATAATCCAAAAAACTTATTGAATACATTATTGGTTGGGAATAGTAAAGGATTTATAAAATATATTTTTTCATATATGCCTTAGATTTTAGAATTCGTAATGTACCTATTGTTATTCCATTGTATGACAGTAGAGATATTCATTATATCAATCAAACAGAAATACTTCACTGTAATCTTAGCATATATTAGTCTCTATCTTACACTGTTTTCATATTTATGGTTATAAAACTGGATCACATTTGATGTGAAGTATTTGAACTTATATTCCTAGATTTATTATATCGTAATCTTAGCGTTGTCCAATTTGGGTGATGTTTTTTGTTTTGTTTTTTTAAATCACAAGCTATTTATATGTTAAAATTTTAAAGCTCATGAAAAAGCAGACTGTAACTGAATTTTTCTTTTAGTGAAGGAAATACCCAATACTACCTTAATTTTGACATGGGAAGAAATCAATGGCCAATTTAACCTCTAGGATCGGGACTGTATAGCATAAGAATGATCATTTTTTGGGAAATCAGATGAGTTGATAAAGTTTTAAAATAGATCACTTATTTTGTTTACATTGTTGAAGGAAGAGTATTATGATATTGGTAGTACAACGGGAATATTTCAGTTACAGCTTTTAAAAGTTGCAGTCTAAACACTTTGATCTAGATGCAAAGCACCTTAGAAATTTATTGATACATATTTCAAGGCAAAATTAGTAGATAGAGTTGTAAAAAGGAAAAATAAAGTAGTGTAATTTCTAGTATTGTTGAATTTAATATGATGGTTATCATTACACTATGCTATACCTTTGATTTTAGTGTGATCAAAGAGTTTCTGACACATAATGTGTTTTTCTTTAAATCTTAAACTTGTAATATTTGTCATATTACCTGTTGTTGTGGGTTACTTTATATTTTGTCTCTCTATACCCTTAGTTGGAGGAGGAACCGTCATGTTTCACTTAGACATTAATGTCTCCAAAAATTTGCTGTATATTTAATATTTTGTTTCTCATTTTAAGTAATAGGAAATCTTAACATATGAAGGAATGTTACTGGCATAGCACAATATATGTTAAAATTGTAGAGTCCAAAAGATACAATTTTGATACTTAATCATGTAAGCAAATATTTTGTAGCATGGGATTTTTAGAAAAATTGAATTAGCATTAGAAATCTTAGGTATTCAATTTATTTGATTCTTTTTTATTTCATTCTGATATTATGTCTTCTATCACTGATTTAGTAAGTTGTGGAACATCATTTACACTGTTGGTGTTTTCATGATTTATAATGTACAATGTCACTTTGATATTTGCTATTTGAAGCCTTCTGGATTTTGGAAAAATAGCTCATTTAAATTTGTGACGTTGTAAGGAAATCCAGTATGTCTAACAACATCGCCTTGCAAATATCATCCCCAAAAGGTTTCAGGACTAGTTTAGAAATAGTGAACACAGTTGGTGAAATAGTTCAGTATTTATGTATGGAAGATGTTTTGTCTAATATACAAGAAGAAGAACAATCTGCGTCTTGGGAACTCTAAGGAGTATGTGGTATCACTAAAAACCCGACCAATAAACCACCCATCTTGAAAACTTGTCTGTTTTTTAGCTATTTTGTTTTGTTTTGTTTTGCTCTGGCTTAAGAGAATTTTTAAGCTTTTCAATAACACGAATAACACTACTGAACACAATTACGCCACTTGTAACCTAAAATTCAGTACCTAATAAACTATTTTTTAACCATAGAATTTAGTCTTGGTTGTTTTCAGTTTAGTGGAGTTGTTTTAAGCCACT